GCACCTCTCCCGTTTCCCAAGACTTGGCACAACATGAGAACATCCCACACAACATGAGAGATACCTACCCAGAACTAACACTAGTTTCTAACCAAGGCACAAAGTACCACCAGTGACATTCAAGCCTTTATCTGCTACTAACTTATCTTAACATATATCAGACCTGGCCTAATCAGCTGAAGTTTGGCAGTGACATTAAACCAATTTTTAAGAGCACAGCTCTACCATTTTCCCTTGTGGCAACCACAGCAATATCTTAGAAAATGGTTTAACAGAAAGACTATCACTGCCTGTACCAAGATAGTGCACAACGGAAAGGCACATTGCCACATATGCCTTTTCCACATTCCCATGAATGTGGAGGATAAATACTTCTGCCAAACATTTGACTTTGCCATGTAACAGCTGGATATGTATTACAGAACATCTGAAGCTCTAAGGAAGGAGGATGAAAAGGCAAAGGTAACAATCTGATGCTTTACTACCTCTATGTAAGCAGTAAGGTTGGGAGGCAGCAAGTCAGTTAAGCTGATTACTTCAATTTCGTGCAGCAAACTATGGCATGTATTATACGTGCTTCTTATTCATAGTTAGGCATTTTCGATTGTGTTAGCTGTCCATAACGTGGCTTAACAGGCTAGGGTACAACAAATAGTTTGGTGTGCTACTCTAATAACACTCCATATTGGCGTCAGAAGAGGATATTGACAAATGACTTCACCCAGGAAAGTTGTTCTGGCACCCATTTAGTAGAAAGCAATAATTTGACACTGTCTAATGACATTAATCAAGCTCCGAACCTTTGTCGGTGTATGTCATAGCAAATGCTTAGCATTTTCAGGTCCAAAGTGCTTGACTACACATTGCATATTAAAAACAAAAGACTTTAATTCATTAAAAATAGACTCTCACGCTAGATTAAGTTCATTTGTTGCACCCGTCCCTGGTCTGCCTTTGTGTGTGGTCTCATTTAAAACAGACGCACATGAACCAGAACCTACTTTATTCACAGGAAACAAAAATACTATTGGCTGTCAACCAAAATAACAGACATTGAAAAATGGGAATACCCCTGGGTAAGGAAATTTTAATTAAAAAAAAAAAAAAGAAGAAGAAGAAAGAAATGACAACGACAAAGTAGATGAAGTTGCCTTCTCTGGGAATTCCTGTTTCATCACCTTTGTCAAAACATCTCACATTGTCTCCTATGTATTTTATAAAGGTCTTTTGCAGATCTATTAAAGTAGCAGCTTCATTTATGCTCACTCTGATCTATATTGATAAAGATTATGAAGCCATTAGATGGCTCATTAAGTCTGCCTTTACTTACCCCCAATTAAGATTTCAGGTGTCTCTGGTTTTGAGCTAATTTCAAACTGGCTGCCATCTGGGACATTCTCGAGGAACATGATCGGCTCCTTTTGTAATGATATATCACATTTAAAACTCTAATGCAGTGGCTCTATTACATGCAATCTCATTTTCCATATGTAGCGTTTTGTGCCTGATATTTTGTGGGAGTTATTTAGAAATCAATCCAAAGTGCCAAGTTTTGATCCACGGCTTTTGCAGCATTAAAGTCCCTGCTCACAGCTGACTGTTGAAATGCTATTAGGCATAACGTCTCCTTGCACTTCTCCACAAATGGTTCACAAAAAGAGAGTTTTTGAGCTTGGGTGTGCAATAAAAACCAGATTCAGACGAAGTAATGAAAAATAATTTTGGCATATTTAGCAAGGGCATCCTTTGTAGAAAACTCCCTTTTGAAAAGCAGAGATGAGGACCAGCACAGTGAAGTAACTGGAATCTACTCAACTCTTCTTCAGAGCAGAGCAGCACGAAAAAATCCAAAACAAAGCAAGCAGAGGTCACAGCCACCTCTCAAAAAGTGCACTGGAGAGAGACCCTCCTCTCAGTCCTCCTACTAAGACTTGGATGGGCAGTCACCAGAAGGAAAGATTTTCACAGTAAATACCAAGGAAGGGAATGGAGAGCACGGGCTCTACTTTGAAACTACGTCAGGCAGAGGGGGCACAGAATTATGATACAAGAGCTCTTACTGGAGAGAAAACCAGATACACAGGACTTCGGCAGTGGAGCGTTATAGCAGGCTCCGAAAACTTTCAGTGCGGCTTTTAGGTCTTCCATTTTACACTAGGTGATGTTGCAGCATACACAGATCCATTTATCAAGATACAGCATAAGGACATCAGGACAGAAATACTGTGTACCTAACGTGGCTTTAGTTGATTTGCAAAGAAATAACTGACCTGAAAAAGCTTCTTCTATAAAAATCTTTCAATCAGCAATGTGAATGCAGTATCTAAGCCTACTGCAATTGTGGTATCAATACTGCACGTGAGAAATTAAGCGTAGCCCCTGTCACACATTTCGATAACACTTATGAATGCTTATGTTTAACTCAGACGAAATAAAATCATTCTAGATTAAACATCTGTCACAAAAAAGCCAGAAAGAGTGACTGTGTATATCTATATATACATACACGTGTGTGCATATAATTCCAGTGTGTATGTGTGTGTGTGTGTGCATATATATAGATAGATATATATATATATAATTCCAGCCCTGCAGTTATAGTTCTGCCATAGACAGAATTCAGATCGTCAAGAGAAACAGGTTAAAGCAGAAGGTGCTAACACTACATCTCACTCCATTTTCCCATTGCAGCCTGTATCTTTTTCACTCAGATCCAGAAGGATGGACAAGGACTAAGCACATCCAGCTCATAAATTTCTTTACTAGGCAGTGCAAGAGAACAGCACTATTCAGGACCTACCTTGCCCATTTGGTACTTGTTTATGCGTTTTTCCTTTCCTGGGGGTTGACTGGCATGATGATGAAGCATTGTTTGTGGCTGTTTTTGTGTCCTCTGTCTCCTCCTCCTCCTCTTCTTCATCCTCGTCATCCTGAGAGCTTCCAAAATATACCATGTTGCTGGGCAGGGCTGGAGAACCTGATCATTATAAAGAAATGGCTCATTAGCATCATTACCTTCACTTACTGCACGATCATAACCTGCTTCAGCATTACGCACAGTGAAGAAAGAGGGGGACTCACAGACAGAAGGTCACCCAAGTGCATGAATAACAGAAAGGGGTTTTATTTATCCATTTTTACCAAAAGGATACGTATGTGCTTGAAAAGCAGGGCTTCCCCCTGCCCCATGCACATTCTATTCATACTTTAGACAATCACACAATCTAGCTACAAGCTCTAATTAAAAGCTTCGTGTATTCAGGAAAGGACTAATGCACATGCTTAATTTCAAATGCGTGCGTAAGTGCCTTACTGAAGTCTTAACACACAAACTAGAAGCTCACAGCTTTTCCAAACAGAAGGAAAAAGAGCATTCACAAACCCAACCGCACCCTGGCAATATTTTTAGGCTATTATTACAACAAAATATTAGTATTTAAACTTCACAATGCTATGCAGACCTCTGCAGTATCGTACACAATGCTTTGCAGTATCCTGGTTCAGTTTTAAACAAAGAGAAAAACGGAGACATTGAGATGCTTAAATTTGCCTAGCGGGTCCCCGGCAAAGGTGAGAAAAGAGCAAAGGTCTCCCGATTCCCAGTGTGCTCGTTTTGGGGATGTTGCTTCTCATCTCTTGCTTACTTCCCATGATGCCTCCCCTGACCTGCCTTGTTTGTGCAGGGGTGAGAAACAACATTCAATTCAGTGAGAGAGAAGCGAGGATTCACAAGCTTCACAACAATACAGGGTTGTAATTTAAATGTAACTCTTCATAGAACTTATTTTATGCATGTCATGCAACAGCATATAGGTTTCCCTGCACGGCATCAGGACACACAACATGACTGTAACAATCTAATAATGTACAAATACCGCTGACAAATAACAGATACTTCCCTTTATGCCCAATACTAGTTTCCATTTTGAAATGAGTCTCCTGTCTATCCCCTGGAGGGACAAGTGCCCTAGGAACCTTCAACTTATTCACAAAAGGATTGTTTTTTTGGTGAAGAAAGAGAAAAAATAGAAAGTCAGTAGAAGTGGAGAATGGGGACTCATGGCTCCAATTATTTCCCTGTAGCTAACTACGACAAAGGACAAAGAGAGCAGGGCTGCAGAGCAACACCACAAGGTAGTGGCTATGTGGCTGATATTTCCTTAGGAAACACTTCTGGCTTCAATCTCTTCAGAGCAGCAACTCTGTGGTTTGGTTGGTTCTCAACTGTTGGTGTTGCCACTGCCAACAACCAACTAAAGCTTCTTTTTGGGTTGTGTATTTTCTGCTCCCACCAGGTTAACTGGGGTTAACGCTAACTACAAAAATCACATTTTAATGAATGGATACATAAATATGGCACAAAAACTAGGATAGCCTGTTTCTGCAGCAAACTATCCTTTCCTAAATGTGCTGGTTTTGGTTGGGATGGAGTTTATTTTCTCCATAGTAGCTTGTACGGTGCTGTGTTTTGGATTTGTGACCAAAACAGTGCTGATAACACAAGGAAGCATCAGCTACAGCTGAGCAGTGCTTGCACAGCATCAGGGCATTTCCTTTTCCTGTTTCTCACGCTGCCACACCAGTGAGTCGGCTGAGGGTGCACTGAAGTTTGGAGGGAACACGGCTGGCACAGCTGACCCCTACTGACCAAAGGGATATCCCAGATCACACAACACTGTGCTCAGCAATAAAAGCTGAGGGAAGGAGTAGGAAAGGGGAGCTTTGGGAGTTATAGCATTTGAATTCCCATGTCATGGAGGTGGCTGAACACCTTCCTGCTG